TTACTGCCAGATGTACATTGTTAATGCACAAAATAGACCGTAGATTTTTTACTATTGTCATAAATGTGAAATGTCAGATAATGAGATAGTCAATAAGTGAGGAGTAGGTGTACTTTCTTTTCCCACTTCCTTATTAAAAGATTTTTCTAAGCTTTGTCTGTGGGTCAGTCTTCTCAAAATTTCAGAGAAGTTTTAGCTGAAAGGCCACAAAAGGGTTATCTTCAGTTTGGAGGTGTTTATCCTAAGGATGCAAGTGAACTTGAGGCAGTAGAATGTATCTCTTTCTCCTTGGTGGTAGTCATTCTGATGATTGGTCTTCCAAGACTGTGGTGCACACCAGGAATTGCAACAATAGCTCAGTGACATTTAGGATACAGCCACAGCTCAAATGGCCTGCTCTCTTGGGGTGTACTTAGTACTCATCATTCCCAACAGAAGACTTGATTGGGTCAGTTTGTCATTGTCCAACGACATGGTTTTGCATCAAGGCATCTCAGAGGTCTACCTCATGTTCATTCTCTACCTGTTACCTTTGTCTTGAGCACTAGTCTAGTCAGACACCGCCCAGCTGGCTATATTTGATAGATATAGCAAGAACCACAACTTTATGCCAAAAGAAAGCCAGGGTTGAGATTAACAGAAAGGGCTCATGGGCCCACAAGACACCTGGAGCTTTATGGCATACTCTCCCCTGAAGTTCTGTCCTAAGGTCTCATCTCTTTCCATGTTCTCTCCCTCCACAAACTCTTCCATTACCTTGGGCAAACAAAGAACAATAGCTTTGTGAAGATTTTTAAATGACGAAAACTGAGAAGTATCTCCTAAATTTGGTAGGTAATAGGGAACTACTCAAAGTTTTTGAGCAAAAAATGAGTAAGAGTAGAGTTGTCGTTCAGAAAGAGTAATGTGGCAGTGGTGTGTGGTATTATATTTGTTTCCTTGGGCTGCCGTAACAAAGTACCACAAACTGCAGGGCTTAAGACAACAGAAATATATTCTCTCAGTTCTAGGGGACAGATGTACAAATTCAGGGTGTGATCAGCGCCATGCTCTCTCTGAAGGCTCTAGGGATGAAATCTTTCCTTGTCTCTTCTAGCTTCTGGTGGTCCCAGGCTGCATAACTCCAATCTCTGCCTCTGTGTTCACATGACCATCTTTCCTCTGTGTTTCTCTCTATGTGTCTTCTCTTCTTATGAGGACACTAGTCATACTGGATTAGGGCCCACTCTACTTCAGTATGATCTCATGCTAACTTAACTAATTACATCTGCAAAGACACCATTTCCAAATAAGATCACTTCACAGGTACCGGGATTAGGGCTTGAACATATCTTTTTGGGGGACACAAATCAGTCCATAGTAGGTGTGAATGGTAGTGAGAGAAGCTTGCCATTTACAAAACATACATTAATTTCATTCTCCATATACATTATCTCTCTACAGAAGACTTCCAAAGCGTTCTCTTGCTGCACTCCCACCCGTGAGCTTGATTTCATTTCCTACTCTCTCAAGGAGATGTTTTCTAGATGCCCTTCTTGACACCACAAGTTCAGGATGTCAAAAACTACACATCTTCTCTTCCAAACCACCTTCTGGGTGCCACTCAGTTCCTTCCTCCATTTCCTCTCTGGCCTGTCATAGAATCACTGCTAGAGCTGCAAATTTACTGCCCTCCTTTTTAACCTTACTGCCACCAGCCTGGTCGGCCCACATACCTCCTGCCTAGATGATAACAATTGCCTCGTTGCCCTTACCACTTCCAACTTCTCCCAGGCCAGGGGCCTCCATTTTTTCTCTTGTTCCAGGTCTGACAAATGTTAGAGTCTGTTTCTGGGTGTGGACCATAAAAATGTACATAAATAAGTATAATATGTTAAAATAAGACATAAAGCACTATGTGGATTTGGTGGAGGAAGAGACCACATCCCATCTCTGGCTCTCACACTTACCCAAGCCCCTTCTACCTTCCCCTCAACAGTCACCCCTTGGGCCTAGGATGTACACACTGGTAGGACATCCTGTCCTCAGGAGGAAGGGCCTGCAGCAGAGGCCTCAGGACCATCTGGACATTGCAGCAGTGTTTTTGCTGTCTGGCATCCCTTCGTCTTGGCTCCCCTATGTACGACTGAGCAGCAGCTGCCTGGCAGTTCTGAGAGCTCTGCTAAGTCCCACTCCAGCTACTCTACCTATCTGCACTTTGTGATCGAAGCTATCTCTGAACTGCCGAAGCCCAAAAGCAAGTGCAGCCCAGAAACGTGGGGAAGTTAACACCTCTGAGGGCAACACTCGACCATTTATAAGATAAATGCCCCAGCCTCCCATTCTTCAAACTGACGATACTGGAAGGTGTTCTGGAAGGTTCTCAGAGGTCCTGGGGGAACTGAGCTCGCTGTATTCAACAGTGACCTCAGTAACACACCTTTAGTGGCTTTTCCTCCTCTCCTCTTTCACCCTTACCACTTCCTCACTCTTACTTTCTGAGATCGCCTCCCAAATAAATTAATTACCATCATTCATGTCTTTGTCACAGGCACTGTTTTTTGGGGGAATTTAAACAAAGACAGGCAGGGGATTTTGGCTCCCATGTCCCTGGTCTAGAATGGAAGTGGTGGATAACAGGTGGGCATGTCCCCTTGTCCCTGAAGTTTCTTTGCCCAGGGGGAGGGGTATGGCTGGAGGAAGGCCAAAGCAGCTCTCAAAAGAGCAGGATTTAGAACAAGGGCCCCAGCTGCCCACACTGAAAGGTAGTACTGACCAGAATATAAGCTCTTGGAGTGTGTGGCCTCTGGTAGTAGTAGACACTCCAAGTAAAAAGAATGAAATAAATGTATTGAAAAGGATTTTGTAAAATGCAAATTTATTCAACAAACAAATGCCATTCAGGTACTACAACAAATGCTAGATGGTGATTACACAATGCAAATTCATGAGCACTTCTCAGATGTTGTAAATATTTGCTTTCATATTTAATAACATACTACAGCTGCCTGCTACCATAAAACTGCAGAATATGGAGTATCTCTATATATCCAAACTACATATAAGATGTAATTTGTGAACTGCATTGGTGAAAATAGTAAGTGGAAAAGCATTACTCAGTGAAAAGAATTAAGATTCTAGTAAAGTAAAAATATTCTTCAGTTTTTCAACTGACATATCTGATGTTGTTGTTAGTTGCCTTGAGTTGTTTCTGACTCATAGCAACCCCATGTGTGCAGAGTAGAATTGCTCCATAGGGTTTTCAAGGCTGTGACCTCTCAGATGCAGATCACCAGGCCTTACCTCCAAGGAGCCTCTGGATGGGTTTGGACGGCCAACTTGTCAGTTAGTAATCCAGTGCTTAATCATTTGCACCACCTAGGGTCCCCGGACATACCTAGTTATCCTAAGTCAACGCAGATGGTATTCTTGACTGTCTGGTACATTCATTTAATGCACATTTATTGAAGGTTTACCATCTATCAGGCACTGTGCTAGGCCTTGGTGATACCAAGGTTAGCTTAGTCCCTGCCATAGAAAGGCGTTTGATATTGAAGGGAAGATGTCCAATTGCAAAATGAATAAGAGGTAGTATGATAAAACTGTACAGAGAGTGCTATACAGTACCAGACAAGGGACCCAATCCACTTGTCAGGTGGGGGTAAGGTGGCCGGAAAAGATTCCTACAGGCAACACCTGAGCTGTCTAAAGGATAGATAAGAATTAGCGGCGAAGAAGGCTATTCTCAATGGAGTAAAAAAGCAGCCTGAGAACAGGTTAAGACAGGGTTTCCCACAAATGTCACCTTAATGAGTTTTGTCAAATCTATATATCACCAGTACAATTACTTAATATTTTTCTTAAATCTCACTTTTCTTTTTTTTAATTTACATACCTACTTTAGCCGAATTTCGAACAATACATGAAAAATCTAGAATATGAAGTGCTAATTACATTTTTTATTACATATTAAAATATTTATTAAAGGGCTACCCATTTACTATTTTAAAGTCATCTCATAGTATCAATTGTTCTGTATAAGGCACTGCAGAAAATACTGAATTCACAGAATTCTTGTGTTATGTGCCGCCCAGTTGGTTCTGACTCACATAAGACAGAGTAGAACTGCCCCCACAGGATTTTGAAGGAGTGGCTGATGGATTCTAACTGCCCACCTTTTGGTTAGCAGCCCAGCTCTTAACCATTGCACCACCAGGGCCCTAGCGGCTACAAATTCCTATTTTAGATGACACCCTTGTTCTCAGTAAAATTTTTATATGCTTAAAATGATTCAAAATACCATATAATAATTTTCAAAATAATTGAAAAGTCTTAATGAATTTTTTAGCACCTCAGGCGAAGGGACCTGTGCTTTTTCTCTATCGTCAAGTCAAGAGGTAGCTTATTTTCGACAGTTTTGATTTGAAATTCATTGTTGTTAAAAAAAAAACCTAAGGGAAAGACAAACATACAATTCGGTTTTTAAAAGCTGGAAAAGCAGTGGGTAGTGGTTGAAATGAAGATGAGTGAAAAACTGCGAAGACAGAAGAAAAGGAACCAAGGTGTCCGCCCCAGGATGTGCAAAGCCGGATGGATGGAGTCAGCGTTTCCTTCCTCCGCAGCTAAACTGCCTCAGTAAAGCATACTAAGGACGGGTTCCGCCGCGCCGAGAAAACGCATATGTAAAAGCGAGGGCTTAAAACTTTTCCTAAAAAAGAAGCCACATTCAACATCGAGGCTAGAGGAGGCAGAGGAAGCGCCAGCGTCCGAGTCTGCAAAAGCCACGAGTCGGAACCAAGCTTGGACCAGCGGACACAAGGGTGCCCAAACCCTCTCGCCAGGCTCCGCCACCCCGCCCCCACACCGCGACCCCAGGCCCCGCCGGGTCCCGCCCAGACCCCCGTCCGGGCCCCGCCCAGGGCCAGTAGCTTGGCGTAGCCGCCAGGGGCCGCTGCGCGCCGCCCGGGCGGGAGTTGCCTCCTTTTCCGTCCACCCTCCTCCACCCCCGGAGCGTTGTCGGCGCCAAAATCAAACCCGCCCCGGCCCGCCCCGCCCCTCGCCTCGCGCGCAGGCCCCGCTGTCGGAAGACTCGTCTCCCGCGCTATGGTAAGAGGTGAGGGTGCGTTCTCGAGTCACTCTCCTCCCCAGTGCCCAGGCTTCCGAGTCCCTCAGCTGCGTGGGGTTCCAGCTTGGCGTTGACTGCCCGGCTGTGCTGCGGAGACAGGCGCCAGGCAGGTGTCCACCGCGGAGAGTGCCGCCAGGTAGCCACCGCCGCCACCCCTCACTTCCCGAGCGCGGCAGGGCGGCCCAAGGAACGCGCCGGCGCGCGCACCCGCCTCTGCTGCCCGCACCCCAGGGAGCCGGGAGACCAGACTCCTGCGCCCCGAGGCCGCTGGGGGTCTACGGCTCTTCCTGCCTTTTCCGCACCCTGAGTCGGTCCCCAGGCCCCATCGAGGCGTGTTAGATTAAGACCCGCGAAGTGTTCGCGAACGTGCCCTGTGTATCTCCAGCCAGTACAGTTCTGATTTGTCAGGAAGATAATCTCCCTCTCTTTTTTTTTTTTTTTAAGTTTTAGAAGAGTATTTAATGTTCTGGGACAACACTCAAAACAGTTTAATGAAAAGGGCAGGTTAGAGCAATGTACAATAGTATTCTTTTTTTCTTTTTATTATTGTATTTTAAGTGAAAGTTTACAATTGCAAGTTAGTCTCTCATACAAAAATTTATCCACACGTTGTTATGTGACCCTAGTTGCTCTCCCTGTACTGTAACCACACTCTTTCCACACCGGATTTCCCGTGTGCATTCAACCAGCTCGTGACCCTCTCTGCCTTCTTGTCTCGCCTCAAGACAGGAGCTGCCCCTTTAGTCTTATGTATCTACTTGAGTTAAGAAGCACAGTCTTCACCAGTATCGTTTTATGTCGTATAGTTCAGTCTAATCTTTGTCTGAAGAGTTGGCTTTGGGAATGGTTTTGGTTTTGGGCTAACAGAGAGTCCGGGGTCTATGTCTTCCGGGGTCCCTCCAGTTTCAGTCAATCCATTAAGTCTGGTCTTTTTACTAGAATTTGAGTTGTGCACCCCTCTTTTCTCCTGCTCCCTCAGGGACTCTCCGTTGTGTTTCCTGTTAGGGCGGTCATTGGTGGTAGCCAGGCACCATCCAGTTCTGGTCTCAGGTTGATGAAGTCTCTGGTTTATGTGGCCCTTTCTGACTCTTGGGCTAATACTTTCCTTGTGTCTTTGGTATTCTTCATTCTCCTTTACTCCAGGTTGGTTGGGACCAACTGATGCATCTTACATGGCTGCCTTCTAGCTTTTAAGACCACAGACGCCACTCACCAAAGTGGGATGCAGAATGTTTTCTTAGTAAACTTTGTTATGCTAGTTGACCTAGAAGTCCCCTGAAAGCATGGTCCCCAGACCCCCGCCCCTGCTACTCTGTCCCTCAAAGTGTTTGGTTGTATTCAGGAAACTTCTTAGCTTTGGTTTAGTCCAGTTGTGCTGACTTCCCCGAGTGTGTGTTGTCCTTTTCTTCACCTACGATAATTCTTGTCTGCTATCTAGTTAGTGAAAACCCTGGTTGCATAGTGGTTAAGAGTTACGGCTGCTAACCAAAAAGGCTGGCAGTTCAAATCCACTAGGCGCTCCTTGGAAACCCTATGGGGCATTTCTACTCTGTTGTAGAGGGTCGCTATGAGTCGGAATCGACTCGACGGCAATGGGTTTGGTTTTTTGTTTTTATCTAGTTAGTGAATACCCTTCTCCCTCCCTCCCCACCCTAGTAACCATCAAAGAATGTTGTCTTCTGTGTTTAAATCTTTTCTTGAGTTCTTATAATAGTGGTCTTATATAATATTTGTCCTTTTGCAACTGACTAAATTCACTCAGCATAATGCCTTCCAGATTCCTCCATGTTATGTTTCACGGATTCATCGTTGTTCATTGTTGTGTAGTATTCCATTGTGTGAATATACGATAATTTGTTTATCCATTTGTCTGTTGATGGGCAACAGACAATCTCTTCAGAACCGTTGCCCCACACTACTACGGATTCGGTCACCAAAGTTGCAGCCCTTGTTAGGAACAGGGAAAGTGCAAGGGAGATGATGAGCAGGTGCAGAATTGGGACTGCAAGGCACACTGGAACGCCTTAGATTCCAAGATGCGCTCTCTTGGTTTTTTTACAGTTGAGTGGTTTTATGTACTGTAATGTGCCAAACACATTTCTGAATTGCTCAGAGTTTCAAAACTAACCTAACGGATCTTCAGTTTATGCTAGTTAGATGGTTTCTGTGAAAATCCATTGATTTTTACCAAAGGGCAGGAATCGCTGTCCTTTTGCCCTGCTGGTTGTGTAAGGAGTTTGCCTCATTATTAGGGAAGCACAGCGATGAATTAGTCTTCCTTGCATACAGTGATGGATTAAGTTTTGGTGAAATTCCAAATTGTCTCTTGTTAGTTTAATGCCTTTATACTCATCAGATCATTTCCATAGACCTTCAAGGTTTTATGCTATTTTTTTTCTACTTCTTTTGGCAAAGAATTAACATTTCATGAAATGGATCTAAGATTTTAATATCTTAATTTGGTTAAGTGGCTTTTTTTGCCAGACTAATGGTGGACACGGATCTAGGTTGGACAGTATGTGTTGGAAGATACTTGTCGAGATGTTATTCTAACTGGTAACGACTTCCTTGTGGTTAAGCTAACAACCCAGCCACCTGGGCATAAAATGGTCAAAGAAGCCGAACAGGATTACATTTAAAACAAATCTGTGATATCATATTTCTCTTTACGGAACTACTTAATATAAATGACTGAGAACTATGCAGCACCAATGCATTAACTTTGTCCTTTTACCTAATCAACTCTTTACACATGATTCACCTTCTAATACTAAATGGTTTAATCTGCTGTTAACTCTTTTCAAATGCGTACCTCTGATGATGGAGAAACAAAATAAATTATAATAAAACTGTAGGTATACTTTCTATTTTTATGTGTGATCAAGAAGTAAATTTAGTGTTGTGTTAATCAAAGATAAACTTTTGTTCTCTTTCCTTATTGAATTAATACCTATTTAATTTGATTTAGTTGGGCTTGCTGGGTAAACATTATTAAGTCCAGGCATATTTTTGCAGTTGGAGAACTGCAATATAGTCTATCAACTCTGAGGGTAGCAGGTGACGTGTACTTTCTTTTTTTTACATTTTTAAAATTTTCAGTATTTTATTATAATTGATCGACAAGACTGGCTTTAGGAATTCTATAGTTTCCAACTGGAGAAGTTTCCTTAGATACTTTTTTTTTTTTTAAGTGGTTTAAAATACATTGTTCAATCAGGAAAATTGGTTATCCTCAGGTCAAATTTTGTATTTCCTTAATAATTTGTATGCAGTTCTAACATACTGTCAAGACATTTTTTTCTAGTCTTGAATATCAAATGAGCCCTTGTTGATGTTTTTGGAGAAATTTCTAAATAAGGATATTAATATAGTATCCTTTCACACTAATTTAATTCTGGATATGATACTCTCCTACTCTGGTTAATAATAAAATTTATGTCTAGTGATGAAAGAGACTAATGAATAAATTAGCCTAGAAACAATGCAAACGAATGATACAACTCATCTGCATTTTTTGAGCAACTGCTCAGAGCTACTGAGCCAAACTGCGTTCCCAGGTCTGTACAGTCTTCTCATTGTCTGCCTTTGGGTGGGAGATTCTTGTGGAGTCCATGGGGCTCTCCAAGAAGCTCTTTATAATACCAGGATGCTAGGAGCCTTTCCTAAAGCTTTGAGGCCTGTTTGCTGCTGGTGCAGCCACAGACTCTAGGGATTCCCACTGCCCCATGGTGCCCCTGACAAGGCTTCCAGATTCTGGGCTGAGAAGAGCAGTGTTGTCAGCCCTGCGGCACAGTTAAAGCACCTGGAGAGGGTTTTTTAAATATGCAGGCCCAGCCCCCATGTTCTGATTCCCTTGATATGGGATGTCCCTGGGCATACATATTTTTTAAAAGCTTCTCAGATGATTGTAAAATATGACTGGGTTTGAGAACCAGTGGACTGGAGAAGTGAGCTGAAGGAGCCTTCTAACTGGGCATGAATTGCATGCTTGGCTTATTCAGATACTCTAGAGGCCAGTGTGAAGAGATGTTGATAAAGTGTCACTGGACTCTAGCTCCCAGCCCTAGGTTAGTGAACAGATCTATATGCTTTCCTGGAGCTCGCCTACCTGAGAGTTCCTTGTTAGTTTCTCCAACCAGGGTAGTCTGTGGTCATCATAGAATTCCCTATTATTAATTTGCCCTGTGTTGTGTTTATGGGAGTGTGGTGGGTGTTTGGGCGGAAGCTGGGCCTGGTAGCCTGAGCACCTTCACATTTTAAGTTTGGGGACTTTAGATACGTAGTCCTTAAATTAAGGGCTGGCCTTTTTGTCTGCTCCGTCTAACCTGGCACTAAGCCTTGGGAAGGCAAACAAAGTTCTTGTTCTGACACAGTTTTTCTGTCTGCTGAGAGAAACAAGTCAACACTTTCAGGTATAGCCCAGCTGGGAGCTCAGGGAAGTCCTCCTGGAGAAAGAATGTCTGAATTGCATCTCAGGAGATGTTTTGGAGTTTCTAGTAGGCAAAAGAAGAAAGGTGTTTTAGGTAGAAAGAACAGCATAATAAAGGACACAGAAGCTGAAGAAAGCATGCTAAGAGTGGAAAATTATAAGCAATTTTGTATTATAGCTCAAATTGCTTAGCTCTTGGTATTGTTAAGGTAAAATTTGAAGTGGGGAGTGGCAGGAGAGGGGGCTGTGAGGGGTAGGGTGGAGTCAGGTGATAGAGGGCCGTGTATACCATTCCAGGCGTGCTTGGATACTTCTGTATGGTTGGGAGCCATTGAAGGATTTTAAGCAGAGGAGAGGCAAGGTCAAAATTGCCCTTTGGCAGTGTAGAATGTAGACTTAAGAAAATGAGACAGAAAGCATGGTTGGAGGACTGGAGTATGTTATAAAACCTGTCACCATCGAGTCGATACCGACTCATACCAACTCTATAGGACAGAGTAGAACTGCCCAGTAGGGTTTCCAAGGAGTGGCTGGTGGATTCGAACTGCCAGCCTTCACTGCGCCACCAGGGCTCCAGAGTATGTTATAGGAGAGAGATAATAAAGACTGAACTGAGGTAGTGGTAGTAGGAATGGATCAGAGAAGATAGATTTGAGAAATAGTTAAGTGCTGAAACTGGCAGAGTTTAGTGATTGGTTGGATGTAGGGTAAGAGAGATGAGGGAATCTAGGATGACTGCCAAGACTCTGGCTTGGGTAATGGTGGTATCTGAGACTCAAAATCTAGAACAGCCAGCTTGGGAAGTAGGTGTGGGAGAGAAGAGTTCAGTTTTAGACTTAGTGTGTTTGAAGTCTGTCCAGCAGGCAGGTAGATACATGAGATTGAAGCTCAGGAGTGCACTCAGGGAGGCATGTAAAGATTTGAGGTAGCAGCATAAGTGTTAGTTAAAACCATTAAGATCAAAGGAGAGATTTGAGGACATGAGGGGATCAACAGCTGAACCTTGGGGAACAGCAGTGTTTATAGGGAACAGAAGAAGAAGAAAAAAATATAAATTATGAGACTATTTATTTACCTCATACAACTCATCAGGAGACACCTGATAGTTTTTTAGGTGTGGAATAAGAGTGGTTTTCTAGCTTCTGCTAGTAGAGTAAAGACTCATTACTCTGGTATGTATTCAAAATGGCAATTCCACATTCTTTCCCCATCTATTGTAGGTTCACATTTTTTGACTGAGCTTTTGGTTGAATAGAGTCAATCTTTAATTGTGTCATTTAAGTCTGCCTTTTAAGTGATGTAAAGTGTTTTTAGGTTCTTACTAAACAATTTATGTCCACTTAAAATGCCATGCAATTTTTGTGAAAGATGCAGATCACTTAAGAAGCATTAGTGTAGAATCCTGTGTTAGAGCACTAGTGATGATGGTTCTCTCGCCTGTTTTTTCTTCCTGCAGATCTTTACTGAGGAAATTTGACTTTTTTTAAAATTTAGATTAAGCTTTATGCGTGTACTCTGTATACAACAAAATAAGATTTATTATTAACTTATACATTTAAGTTACATGTTAATTATCTCAATTTCACATCAGTTAAAGGATCAGAATCAACTTGATGGCAATGGGTTTGCTTTGGGTTTTTTTTTTTTTTGTAAGTAAAGGGTGAAAGACCTGTAAAACCAGTTGCCACCCAGTTGATTCCTACTCATGGGGACCTGCATGTCAGAGTAGAATTCCATAGTTTTCAATGGTTGATTTTTTGAAAGTAGATTGCCAGACCTTTCTTCTGAAGTTCCTCTGGGTAGACTCAAATGTCCAACCTTTTGGTTAGCAGCCAAGTGCATTAACCATTTACACCACCCAGGGACTCCCGTGAAAGGGTAGTTGGAGACTGATAGTAACCTGAAATAGGCCTCCATTTTCTACTTAGATAGCTTCTTTCCTCTAGCCTACCTTCCACATTGCTACTATAGTTGTCTTGCTGAAATCACTTACCACCCTAATGATAAGATTAGTGTGGACTGAGGACTTAAGAAGGTGCAACAGAAAGAAAGGTTCCGGGACTGTAGGTACGTCACTCCTCTGCTTTAGATGCTCAGTAGCTTCTCATTGTCTAGAACAAAGTCTGGTCTCGTTGGCCGGACAGTCAGCCTTCCTTAGTCTGACCCCAGACAACCTTTCTCATCTCATCTGCCACTCTCCGTACACATGCTCTGTACAGTAACCATCACAGAGTGTTTGTCCTGGAGCCTGGCGTTTACGTCCATTGTGCCTTTGTGTGCTCTGCCCAGGACATCCTTCTCCCCACTTTATCTTGCCCAAGTCCTCCTTATCTCCAGCCCTCCTGGATAACTTCCTCCCTCCCCAGGGTGGAATTAATTCATGCAGTCCTGGATATTTATATAGGAATTTGTACATATAGCAGTTCATCAGTTATAAGTAGTTAATCTATTTATTTTCTTAGAGAGATTGTAAGCCTTGAAAAGGTAAGTACAGTGGTTTATCATTGGTTCATTTGATAACTATTGAATTTCTACAGAATGCCAGACTGTGTCTCAATTATAATTCTTACTATTCTCCTGGCAGCATCTACCTTAAGGCTTGGCATATAGTATGGTAGTTAAAATGAGTCTTTAGGTCTGGCTCTGAGAAATCAAACCTCTGCTGGTGTAGACAAGACCATGCATAAAATTTCAGCTAAAGTTTCAGACCCAAGTTGCTGTAAAATGCAATGTTTACTTTTTTACTTTTGTGTTTTAGTCGAAGAAAAAAGGACTGAGTGCAGAGGAAAAGAGAGCTCGTATGATGGAAATATTTTTTGAGACGGTAAGTCATTTTTCCTAAGATTTTTAGCATTTTGCATAGTTTTCACATTAAATATATGTCATCCAATGTAAACTGCACCTTCTTCATTAAAGATCAATACTGAAGAATTTCCGGAAGAATGGATAAAATTCTGCAAACACGTGGTTCCTGTGAGCTGTGGAGTATGAAAAACCGTATCTCACCACTGATAGATGTAGAATTTCTTCTTTGCAGACTGTCCTACAGACTGGCTCCAGAATTCTTTCTGAACCATATATTTGATTGTGTCCCTTTATTGCTTTACAATAATGATAATAGCTCACGTCTACTGAGTGCTTACCAGGTGCCAACTGCTGTTCCAAGCACTCTGCATAGATAAGCTCATCTCATCCTTATATCAACCTTATACTCTTGTTATGTTACTCATTTTACAGATGAGGATATTTGAGATACAGAGAGCCTAAGGAGCTCAAAAAATACAATCAACAGTACCGGAATTTAAACCCAGGAAGGGTTGCCTGATTTTACAGGCGGTGCTAAGTAATGCCTCTTTGCATTTATAAATCTGTCTGTAGTGTAACTTGGAGCCCTGGTGGCATAGTGGTTAAGAGCTTGGCTGTTAATCAAAAGGTTGGCAGTTTGAATCCACCAGCTACTCCTTGGAAACCCTATGGGGGCAGTTCAACATTGTCCTGTAGAGTCATCATGAGTCGGAAGCAACTTGACAGCAACGAGGTTAGGGTTTTTTTTTTTTTTTTTTTTTTGGTAGTGTAACACATGTGATGGCGCACAGGCCTCTTAATTCAGTACAGCATTTGTGCATACCGCTAACAGGAAATATGTTTGAAGTTTTAGCTCCACAGTGGCAGAGTTGGGATTCAAACCCACGCACCTGGTTCCAGAGCCTGCTCTCTTCACCACATTGCTGTACAGTGGCTTTTCTTTGCCTTCAGGTTAAAGTCCAAACAGATCTTTGACCTAAAAAAAATATTAACTTCATATGGCTTAGCCTAATACTTGGCAGGACCTTCAAAGCCCAGTCTTGCCCCGACCTAGTGGACATTTTTGTTATATACAAGTGTGAAGTTGGGGGGAAAAATGGCAAAATAGAATATCAAATTAATAAAATCTCTTTTAATTTTAATAATGCAGATTCTCAGAAAAGGAAGCAAAATATTCGGATTTTTTTTTCTTTTAACTATTTGTAATCTTACTATTTCTTAAAATATAATCTTTCTATTCCTTAAAGTCATTGGCAGTTCAGAACAGGGTGTCATATTAACAATGATATGATTAGGAAGGTAAATTGATGACGTTTATGTATGGTGAGGATTATGACAATTTATTTTTCTGTTGAGTTGTAATATTTGTCATATGGTCTCAGAACAAAGAAAGTAGATTTAATTCCTACCGGGCTGGGAAGAATGGTTGGGCATTTGTTTTATCCTTTATGATATTGTTCATTTTCTTTCAAATATCAGAATTAGCTTTTTCTGATTGAAAATTTTTCTTCTTCCCTGCCCTCATAATAAGTATCATAATGGGTATGATACTAGTATCAGCAGTTTAAAGAAGTTCAGTAACCAGTAAGTTTTAACGTAAAGTTAGGAGTTAATTGTATTAATTAATCCATTCATTTTAGTTCATATATTCTTGTTCCCTTTTCCACATTACAGCCTAATCTGTTGTTGTTCATCAGTTTTTATGATGGAGTTGAAAAGTATAACAGATTTGGGAAAAGTAATGGAGACCACTTCATTTATTCTTGCATGAATGTGGTGTATCTAGAATCCAGACTGCCGTCAAAGTTGATAAATACTAACCATAAGCCCTTCAAGAATTCAAAGCAAATCAGCAGTGTGGTGCAGAGTGGAAAGAACATGGGCCAGATGAATATGACATCTGGATTCACCAGTGTTGCTACCGGCAAGTTGAATTCCCTTGGCCAATTCATTTTACTTCTCTGTGCTTCTTTTTCTTCAACTATAAAATAAGAATATGGACTAAATAATTTTTCTAGGGTTACAGAGACCAAAAATAATTATTCATTCTCCACTGCATAATTTCTACTATTGAATTTTATTTTAAACGTCTTTCTGGTTTGCAATTCCTACGGTACCGTTTACGAGCTGTATGATGCTAGGCGAGTTATGTAAATAACTTCTTTCAGTCTTTATTTCCTCATCTGAAATGGAGGTGATGATACCTACCCCCTAGAGTTGTTATGAGTGTTAAGCAAGATGCCATATCTAGACACCCAAATAGTTGCTTTTATATTTCTAGCAGTGGTCAATAAAAATTCCAACAAAATCAAATATGGCTACTCCAGGGTTTATTATAGAATTTGACTATATGTAGATGTTAAAAGAAGCCCCCTTTAAGGACTGATGTCATGGGGAAATGCTCATTATGTAATTAATGTTAAGTAGAAAATGCAGAATACAAACAACATGAATACAATGCAGTGTGATCATAAATATTAACAGTGGTTGGATTACAGGTGGATTTTTTTACACTTTATTTTCTCAGTTTCCAACAATGAACATGTTGTGGTGGTGGTGTTAGTTACTGACTCATGGCAACCTATCATGTACAGAATAGAACTGTACTCCATAAAGTTTTCAAGGCTGTGACCTTTTGGAAGCAGATCACCAGGCCTTGCTTCCGAGGCACCTCTGGGTGGATTTGAACTGCTAGCCTTTTTAGTTAGTCGCCCAGCACTTAACTATTTGTGCCACCCAGGGACTCCTACAATGATCACATTAAAAAGCCAACAGACAGCACCACACACACCCTGTGCTGCCTCTAACTATAAGTGGGGCCTCCTCGAAGTTTTGGAAATCTTTTCAGGAGACGGTCATTAGTAATAATGGCAGCTTATTAAGGGTAAGAATCTTCAAGTACTATTTGAGGCACAAAATAGGCCCAGTAAGCATTTGTTGAGTTTTTCTAAAAATTATGTCAGCAGAAACTAAATGAGTAGGTCTCTATCAGCATACAAGTCTCTTTGGAATGGCCATGCTTATACCCAGATAATTTTATTTGTATATCTATTTGGAAGCTACTGACATAATGGAGCCCTGGTGGCACAGTGTTTAAGAGTTACAACTGCTAACCAAAGGGTCTGCAGTTCGAATCCACCAGCTGCTCCTTGGAAACCGTATGAGCAGTTCTACTGTGTCCTATAGGGTTGCTATGTGTCAGAATTGACTTGACAGCAACAGGGTTTTTTTTAACATAATAGAAAAGGAATTCTTTCCCAATTGCACTTATGAAGAACATGGGGCAGTACAACGCAATGGTTGAAAGCATACATCTGAAGTCAGTTTTACCTGATAGCTTTGTTACTTAACCTCTCTAAGACTCAGTTTCCTCAACCAAACCAGTTACCGTCAAGTCAGTTCTGACTCACGGGGATCCCATGTGTGCAGAGTAAAACTGCACTCCATAGGGTTTTCAAGGCTGTGACCTTTCACAGGCCTTCCTTCCGAGTACCTCTGGGTGGGTTTGAACCCCAATCGTTTGGTTAGTAGTCCAGCACTTAACAGTTTGTGCCAGCCAGGGGCTCCCATCTATTGAAGACGGTGTTAGTAATATCCAACTCACAGTTTTGGTATAAGGATTAAATGAGATGATCTATGAAAAGTATTAAATGTAAAACATTACAATGCCTAGATCATTTTAAGTACTTATGTTATCTAGTATTATATTTATGTGTTCTGCCTGGTATTTTACACATTTATAGCTTTTATGAAGAGCTAGAAACATCTTTTCATCTCTCTTTTATTATGTCTGCTGTAATGCTGGGGAGTTTACGAACTAAGATTTACTCGAGACCATCTGCTCAGTGCACTTACATGACCACAGAATAGTTGAAGACTAGTTCTTTGCAAGCCCATTTATTTATGTAACAACCCCACTGGGGCAGCGTATGTTTGGGGCTCCTTCCTGATGACCACATGTAAGCAGATATCTCGATGAGTTCATGTTCTTTTCCCATGGAGCCTAAATTATTTGCAAATAAATTTGATAAATTGATTTTTCTAACCCACTAGAGGCCTAAAGCCAGTAATTTGTTGCATGTTCTTTGAGACCCTAAAGTATTATTTTATCTTCTAACAGTTTATTCCTAGACATACAAGCACTGATCTCATATTCTCACTGAGCCTAGTGACTCAGTGTTGTCCTTAATTTACTAAACGGCAAGTACTGTGAGATGAAGTTACTTTTTTCTGAACATTTTATTATGAAAAATCTTAAAATACACCAAAGAGATAGAACACCCAGAATGCAGTTAAAGAGAATGTTGACACGTTGTGAAAAACGTAACCAGTGTCATATTAGTTTGTATAGAAATTATCAAATGGGAACCTAATTTACTGTGTAAACTCTTACCAAAAACACTATAAAACATATATATGTGTACACAGCAAAGAGAATTTTACAGTGACACCCATATACCCGTGACTTAGATTTTGCCATTAACATTTTATTTTACTTGCTTTATCATACATATTCATCTGTCCACTCCTTTATCCATCCATGAGTTCATCTTTTTTTTTTTTTGGATACATTTGTAAAGAGTTCTTTATATATCCTGGGTACCAGTCCTTTGTTAGGTTTATTTTCTTCTGGTGAGTACTTGCCTTTTCCGTTTCTTAAGAGTGCTTTTGGATAAGCAGAAGTTTTTAATTTTTATGAAGATAATCCCCTTCCCATCCTATTGAAGTAGCTTTTTCAAATTTATTTTGGAAGAAATGGATCCTAGATTTTCGTAACAGTAATCAAAATAATTCTGTCTAATTACCAAATACTTTAGCCTTTTCAAATATTTCACTTTTGTTATCCAAATTCTTTTCATCACCTCTACCAAGGCTTGTTACAAGAAGAAAGGTATACTTTAAACAGATTTTTTCCAACCACAAGATTGAATATTTTACATGCATATTTTTCCATAATGTTTTGGTTTGCACGTGGTGGACATACAACATATATGGATGAATGATTGATAGGCAGCCATGAATTGCATAATTTTCCTTTTGATTAGGTGTAACTCTTCCATGAAACCTTAAATGTAAGCAATTGCTGACATTTATTTTGCTTTTTGTTAGAAATTCTAGATCTGTGAAGTATGATATATGCTAAGCAAACACTGTTCATGTTTTCTTAAAGTGTCAGAGAAGCTAATTACCTCACGTTAACAAATGATCCACCATAACTAGTTTTTATACTTCAGTGGGAAGATGTTCTTTATGTTGTGATCGCCAAGTACTTGAAAGAATTGTATATTCACGTAAAAGTCTATTTTAAATTATTGAAGGTATGATATAATCATGAAACTTCTTTAGCTCTAAAATGCTTAGATTCTATTGCATTTTAATTTCCAGGCCTAGTTTTTTTTTTTAGTACAATAGTTTATGAACATTTTTATGGTAAATATATACGGTAGAGAATAAATACATGTTCTTGACCTTTTTTAAAACCTTTTTAAACAGAAAGATGTGTTTCAACTAAAAGATATGGAGAAGATTGCTCCCAAAGAGAAAGGCATTAGTAAGTATCAAAGATGGACTGAAAATTTGGGGAAATGTTGATCATCTTTTCTGCAACAGTTGTTCACTCTATGGAGAACATAAATTTCTGGAGATGAAGATTATGTCTGTGGGCCTTAGCCACAATTCTTTGTTTGGATTATCTGTTCTAGGAAATTTAAAATGGATTACACACATACACAACATATGCTTTTTTATTTTTTGCATAGAACTTTAAAAAAAATTTATTTTAAAAACTATCATACAGTAAAATTGACTTTTTTTTTCTTTTGGTGTGTAGTCCTAAGCATTTTAACACATGTATAGATTCATGTAACTACCACCGCAATCAAGATACAGCAAAAAGTGAAGGAATTTTCATTTCCAATTGACTGTTGTGGAAATTGAGGCCCAGAGAGTTTGAGCAATGTCCCAAGATCACACTGCTGGTGGGGAATGAAGCAGATGTTAATCCAGATAACAGAACGGGACATGTGTTTTGCCATGGAGTCAGTCAGAGGAGCTGAGGGTAGGCAGTGGCCCAGCATGGGCCCTTGAAACAGAAATCCCCACTTCTTGGCCCTTTTCTCACGGGCAATTGCAAACCTCTTGGTGTCAGTCAGTGAAGTCTACTCTGTAGGCTTTGAGAAAGCCCTCCAGGAATTTAGAATTAGCTGGGGCCAGCGGTTTATTTTTCCTGCTTCACTGCTTGGTCTCAAGATGCACGGATTGTTCGGACTTGCTAATTTTAACGAGGAAGTATTTTGATTCACTTTCGTAAAAACAATGTGAATATGCTGACTTGGTAAATGTTGTATTTTATATATATATATATATATGTATTCAGCACAATAAGATAAAAGAATGTGAACATAATGTAATCTTTTGCTAAGAGCTCTTGGTCATCTTTGTGACTGTTCATTGATGTACCCCAAAAGAAACAGATTGTTCTTCTGACTCCTCTCTTGGGGTAAGTGTGCTTGCCTGCTTTCAATATGATGCTTTTAATGAGTTCTGTACTGGAAAATAAACACATCAGGGTTATTAAAGTTGTTTGTAGATTGAAAGTCAATATATTTTGAGTAAAAGGTCAAGAGCCTCTTCTAAGGAGTGTCACACTTGCTCTACATCTAGTACTTCTATTGCACACTTAGGTCACCTATTGTGGTTGTTGAAACCACTTTGGAGACTTTAGTTTTTTTTCCCATACAAAAATTTATCCATACATTGTTATGTGACTCTAATTGCCCTCCCCATACTGTGACAACACACTCCTCCTTTCTACCCCTGATTCCCCATGTCCATTCAACCAGCTCCTAACCCTCTCTGCCTCCCCATCTGACCTCCAGACAGAGCTGCCCGTTTAGTCTCTTGTATCTACTTGAGCTAAGAGGCACACTCCTCACGAGTATCACTTTATGTCTCACAGTCCAGTTTAATCCCTGTCTGAAGAGTTGGCCTCGGAAATTGTTTAGTTGTGGGCTGATGGAGAATCCAGGGGCCATGCTTTCTGGGGCTCCTTCAGTCTCAGACCATTAAGTCTTGTCTTCTTGCTAGAATTTTAGTTCTGCACCCCACCTGCTCCATCCGGGACTCTGTTGTGTTCCTTGTCAGGGTGGTCATTGATGGTAGCTGGCCACCATCTAGCTCTTCTGGTTTCAAGCTGATGAAGTCTCTGGTTTATGTGGCCCTTTCTGTCTGCACATTTATTTATTTATGGGTGTAGTGTGCTTCAAAACAAGCAAAAATTGCTCATGAATCTTCTAGTTTTGGTAAATGTGACTTTGGATCTTTACATGTATTAGTTCCCTAGGGCTGCTACTGTAACAAATTACCACAAACTCAGTGGCTCAGAACAACAGAAATTTATTCTCTCATTGTTCTGGAGGCCAGGAATACGAAATCAAGGTGTGGGCAGGGCTGGCTCCTTCTGGAGGCTCTGAGGGAGAATCTGTTCCTTGCTTCTCTCCTAGCTTCTCATGGCTTTCCTTGGCTTGTAGACATCACTCCAATCTCTGCCTTCTTCCCTACTATCTCTTATGAGGACATGTGTCATTGGATTTAGGACCCACCCCAAATCCAGGATGATTTTATCTCTACATCCTTAAATTAAATACACCTGCCAAGACCCTTTTTCCAAATAAGGTCACATTCACAGGTTTCACTTGGATATATCTTTTTGTGGACTGCTATTCAACCACTTCACGAGGTAAATTATTTTTTTTAAACCATTCTGGTTATATAAGTTATACATGTTTATTTTAACAAATTTGGAGCCCTGATGGCACAGTGGTTAAGAGCTTGGGTGCTAACCAAAAGGTCAACGGTTCGAATCCACCAGTTGCTCCTGGGAAACCCTATGGTGCAGTTCTTCTCTGTCCTATAGGGTCACTATGAGTTGGAATCGACTCGACAGCAATGTTTTTTTTTTTTTTTTTTAATAGAAGAATTTACTGAAATAAAAGTTGCTTACAATCACTCTTCTGAGATAACCACTGTTAACATTTGGTGTATTTTGATGTCTTATTTCTGTGTTCTGTTTGTCTATTTATGTATGTATCTGTGGATCTCTGAGAAGGGACCATGCTGTGTATATAGTTTTGTGTTCATGTATTTTTTAATAAAAAATTATATCATCGATATTTACTCATGTCGTTTGATTTAAAAAAACGTACACGCACAATTTGCAGCATCTGTATTTCCTAATATTTTATTCTGTGACCACCCACCACACCATAATTTGTTTACCCTTTACCTATTGTTGGACATCTAAGTTGTTTACAAATTTTGCTGCTAAAAATAATGTTGTGCTTAACATGCTGTCCATAAATGTTTCTCCACATCTCATATTACTTCATTAGAAAATTTCCCTAGAAATAGACTAGAGAATAAAGGTTTGTATATTTGTTAGGCTTTTTATATGTATTCTCAAATTTCCTTCCAGAGAACTCTGTTAACCAGTTCCATTGAGTTGACTCCCACTCATGGCAACCTCATGTGTTTTGGAGTACAACTGTGCTCCACAGGGTTTTCATCGGCTGATTTTTCAGAAGTAGACCATCAGGCCTTTCTTCTGAGGTGCCTGTAGGTAGACTCGAACCTCCAGCCTTTCAGGTAGCAGCCAAACACATTAATCATTTGCACATCCAGGGACTCCCCCTTCCAGAAAGGCTGTACCAATATATATTAACATTTAATTAGCTGGGGCCAGTGGTTTATTTTTCCTGCTTCACTGCGTGGTCTCAAGATGCACGGATTGTTCGGACTTGCTTCTAGAACTCTGTATTTTCAATTTTAGAATTCGTTGGAATGTAAATAGATTAAAAACTGATATCATTTTAGTTTCTACTTCTTTACAAGTGGGGTTGAATGTTTTTCACTTTGATGTTGATTTTATTTCTTTACTAAATTTAAATTTTTAATAGATTTTATATTTTGAGGTTCTGCTCTAGGAAAAATTAAAATGGACATTAAAACATATATTTCTTGGTATAATTTTACTTCATAGGAAGTAAGAATTATTAAAAAATTTCAAACATCTGTTAAATGTGACTTGGCACCTTTACATGGTTTTTTTTTTTTTTAATTGTACTTCAGGTGAAGGCTTACAGAACATATAGTTTCTCATGAAACAGAAGTACACAGGTTGTTTTATGACACTGGTTAACAACCCCACAACATATCAACCCTCTAACTTCTCAACCTCTTTTTTTTTTTTGATGAAAATACACATAGCCAAAGATACACCATTTCAAAAATTTCTACACGCTCAGTTCAGTGACACTGACCACGCTCTTCGAATTGTGCTGTTATTCTCACTTAAGATGAAGGCTTACAGAACAAAATACTTTCACATTTAACAGTTACTACAAATGTTGCCCTATGACAATGGTTAACAATCTCACAACACATCA